TTACTTTATTTATGTCATTTATAACTATTATATATTTAATTATCAAACAACTTTTAGGGGCAACTTATCTAGTCATATTTTATTCAGTCCTAATCGTACCAAACATCATAGTTTTGTACCGTCCAATTCTATCTCGTCCAGTTATGTCACGTCCAGTCTAATCATATATGCGTACCATACGCTACCTTAGCAGCCCTGGTCATGAATCATTAATAATTTTAGTCATATGTTAAAACTCGTATTTGATTTAACTACAAAAAGCGACTTGTACATTACATATGACAAGGCACATCAAGTTAAGTTTTAAGTTAACCAAATGGTTGCTATCCGAAAACGTTAGAGCATCTTTAACAACTATGTTATTTTAGAAGGGATTTGAGAAAAAAAAAATTCAACAATATCCTACGCTCTCCTCTAAAATATAGACAGAAAAATGAGAGAATAAAGAAATCTCTAAAGTTTGAAAAAAATAGAGAGAATATGCAGCATACATGCACTTATAAAGCATGTGTGGTTGATTAAGGGGTTGTTTGGCAGTTACTGGATGGTTTGATGCATAATGATTAAGTAGTTATAATTATTAAGAGGCTCTCATGATGTAGTGCAAAATGAAATATAATTATTTGATAATTATTTAGAATGAAATTAGGGCGCTTAATGGTTAAGGGAGGCTCATTATACAAAATCATTTAGAGGGTTTTAGAACCATTAAGAAACAAAAAAAATTGCAAACAAGATTTACCTCTTAACAATTTTGAGGCTGCCTCTTAATAGAACTATTAAGCGGTAAACAAATAACCCTTAAACTAAATAAAACGTAAACATTAACAAATATGTTTTGAAGTGGTATCAAGGTTTACAATTTTATGGATATAATTATATGGACTTTATATGCGCATGATGTTGTATGATCAAATTTGGGAGGAAGTATGTATATATATGTACACACACATACACACTACCCATTTGCTAGAATTTGATTTTGATGTTTATATGAATGCATGTGATTCTTTCTTGTGTGCTAATTAGTGATGGACGAGAATGTGCGTGTGAGGTGAACAAATGAAATTACCAAATGTTTTTTAGAGACTTGTTTGGAAGAGGTCAATAAAGTGGGTCAAAATGGAGGTAGTCTTCGCAAAAAAAAACTTGGGTGAAGTTGGCAACAAAGTTTGAGGAAGTGTGCCATGTAAAACTCACCCAAAAACAATTGAAAAATCAGTATGATTATTTAAAAGAAAAGTATTCGGGATTGGTGTATTTAAGGAATTATATAGATAATATTTATGACCTTAACTAATCAAGAATGGGAAGATTTCTTCAAGGTTGGTTTTTATTCTTTTTTACCTTTTTAGATATTAAAGACAAAAGCACCGGTATTATATAAATAATTATATTTAATTTGGATGTAGGGACTTCCAAAAGCAAGAATTTTAAAAACATCATAATTATGTATACTTTTGTTCGAGGGGACTTCTACTACCAGATCTCGTGCTTATACCCCTACTTCAACCTGTGGGAGGACTACGATTTCATCATCATCATTTACATCTAATATCCACATTACTGTTAAAATACTTAAAATGAGGTGGATGGAGATGAGGAGAAAGGATCAATTGTCGATAAATCGAGCACAACTCCGTCTAGACCAAATAAGAAGAGTAAAACCAGGGTCGACATGGATGAATTGGCTTTAGAAATGAGGGGTGCCCTTTAGACATTTGTTACACAACAAACCACACTTGCACAACAAACCTCAAACCTAAATGTTTGTATTGAACGGTTGAACACTCTTGACCTTGATAAAAGGAGTCCTCTTTACAGCGCAGCCATTGACATTTTTGGGCAGTCAACATTATTAAGAGAGACATGGTTGACGATCCCTTCAGATGCTGATAGATTAACATCATGAACTTCAAGGACGGAAAGACGATTGAGACTCATGAATTAGTTTTTGGAATTTGAACAAGTTACTTCGTTATTTGTTTTGTATTGAACATATTATTTGGTTATGTGTTTGATATTTGACAACTTGGTTACTTGTTTTGTAAGTTGAACAAGTTGTTATTTGGTAGTGCGTTTAATATTGGAGTTTAATTATATTTATAATTTTTATTTATGCTTTTAACAGGTTTATCATGAATAATAATAATAAAAAAAACTTTACTTCTCATCGTCGTGTTCTTGTATATGTTATACTTGCAACAAAGACGTTTGAAAATGAAAAAAAGATAATACATATGCAATGACTGGACGTCAATTAATGGATGAGCTAGTTGAAGGTAGTGATGGGCAATGTATTGAGTTGTTGTGAATGTCTTGTGGAGCTTTCATCAACTATGTGATCACTTTAAAGCAAAAGGTTGGTTAACGAATAGCAAACATATATTAGTCGAAGAAAATATGGCTATTTTCCTGATGATTATTGGTCACAATCAACGTTATAGAGTGTTGAAAAACAGGTTCCAGCACTCAACACAAAAAATTCATAAATTTTTTCATCAAGTGTTGGATAAAATGATGGAGTTTGAAAATGAGATCATAGTTCCTATATCATTTAATCCTAATCCAAACATCCTTGGAAATAATAGGAGGTTACGACGAATATTTAAGGTAAATAATAATCCGATAATAGTTATATAACTTTCCTTACTAAATTTATTTTGACTATTACCTTTAATGTAGGGAGTAATTGACGCCTTGGATGGAACTATAATACATGTTATCGTCCCTATTCATAAACAACATTTATATAGAGGACGAGAAAATGATGAATGTTATCAAATGTTTTGGCAATTTGTGATTTCAACATGGTTTTTACATTTGTTGTTGTCGGATGGGAAAAAATTGCACATGATTATAGAGTTTTGTCCGAAGTTTTAACAGATGGTGCTACTGAATTTCCAATTCCTCCTTCAGGTATACTATTGATTTTAGAGGTAATATATTTACTATATTCATTTGAACAATTTTATTTATTGTTTTCAGATAAATAAAAATCTATGTGATGTTGCGTATACAAAAACCCAATGTTTTATAGCGCCATATTGTAATGTTAGATATTAGCTCGGAGATTTTCGTTGTCGACGAGCAATAAACAAGTATGAAAAGTTTAATCATTATCATGCAAAACTTAGAAATGTTATTGAACGTTCTTATGGTGTCCTGAAAGCATGTTTTTCGATATTGAAAATAATAGCACCATTTACACTTGAGGTTCAAAGAGACCTTGTTATTGCATGTTTCGTGGTTTACAACTTCATACGAGAGGAATGTTTAAGTGATGAGTTATTTTCTGAGTATGATCAAACCAACGAACAAGGGAACGATGGCGAGGATGAGGCTAAAGAGGTTCAATCGCATGAGAGTGCTACTGACCAAACATATATGACTAATTTAAGAGAAGAAATTGCGACACAATTACTGCAAAATGAATATTGATTCTAGTTGTTATTAGACTTTGTTTGTGTTTTATATTGTATGTTGAATCAATTGACGTATTTCAGTTGAATTTTTTAATGTGTTAAAAATGAATGGTGATTTACAAATGGTTTGAATGATTGGATGTTTCAATCGAATTTAATTGAAATGAATTAATTCAGATTTCAGAATTAAGATGTTTGTCAGTTTAAAAAAAACAAACAGTCTTATTAATTCAAATTTCAGACGTTTATCAGTTTACAAAAACAAACAGTCTTATTAATTTAACTTTCAGACTTCAGACGAAAAAACAAACAGTCTGACTGATTCACATTTCAGACTTCAACACCACCTCTTATAAACCAGAAGTGAAATCAAACTTCAACACCTCTTAAAAAACAAACACCACCTTAGACATTTTTTACATCCTATAAATCTGATTTTATTGTAGTATAAATAAAGAGAATTTGATTACATATATTTTGCTATACCAATAACAATATTAACAAAAACATGATTTAAAACTCAACCATAAAGGGGTGTTTGGTTCGTAAAATGGAATTCATCAAATGAATTTGACTTTGAGGGAAAGGAATGAAATCTGATAGAATCTGACCATGCCTTGTGATTGCGTTTGATTGCATGGAATTGGAATGGAATTCTTATCGGAATTGGATTAAGGAAGGAATCTATAGGAAAGGAATTGAAATCCTAACATATTGCCATGGAATTGTAAAATCTGTGCGTGAAGGAATCGACTGGAATTGAAAGAATTCCATAATCTTATTCCATGAACCAAACACTCTCTATTTAGAAATTGATCAAAGGATTGGACATTCCAATTTCTTTCAATTCCTTTCAATTCCCATGATCCAAACAACCCCTAAGGGTTATGAGCTCAAGTCACACAAACCTATAATTTTTTTCGAAAACAAATCAAGCTCGGATTTACCTCGATAAAGTGATAAAATAAACTGTTCAAGGCTAAGGGGTCATTTATCAACACTCATTGGGTAAACCTTGTCACGTAAGCAAGGTTCAAAATGGCATGAGGCAAAGCATGACGAGAAACACAAGCCTTAAACCTTACATGCCACGGGCCCACGACGAGGAGCCGATGTTTTTTAAGACGTGACATAAAACGACAAATTTGTATGTCATATATATAATTTATATGTTCTCAATTTATTATTCAATAAGATAATGATACTAAAAAAATAATATTCATATAAATTAACCAGTTATATAAAAAGTTTGTGATCAAATATATTCAAAATAAAACTTCAAAGAGTCTTACAACTTTGATTTAACCGTGAGTTTATGACATGTGTGAATCCAATAATCTATGAATGATGTGATTAGTTAAGATTGTAAAATATAAAATCTAAAGTTAAAAGCGTAAAACGCTACGGGTCCTATCGTAACGGCATAGACGCATCTTACGCCATGACGTAGGCCATGGCACGCCTTTTTGAAGATCGCATGTGATAAGCAATAAACATGGCCTAATTTTTCATTCCAAAAGCAATTTTTATAATAACAAGCCAAGAAGGCAATTTAAATTCAAAATTTGCAAAATATCCCAATGACTGTTTTTGTACTTTCTAGCGATGGATGTTTTGTTTCAGAAGGCGTAGAAGAGAAATGCTACCTTGTGTTCTTTTTCTATCATCTTCCTTTTCCCCTCTTTTTCCCTGTGCATGGAATATGTAAAACATTAAACACGAATTGTTGCTTTCGAGAGATGAATAAAAAACGATGTACCTTTGGCATCTCGGACGCATCATCAATGTCTAAAATGTGTACGTTCCTTAGCATCACCGATGAAGCAGGTCGAAGTCTCCTAATAATCAGCCAAACAATAGTTGTCTTAAAAATAAGTGCAATATGTAAGAAAATATAACGTGCTTTTCTCTGATTTCCTATCTTGTGCAGCATACTTTCTTTTTGGCTCTCGTATATGATATCTCAAACATTTAGATATTTGGTTTAAATAGGAAAATGCAGCGCATTTTGATCTGATTCCTATTTTGTATAACTTACTTCGATTTAAATGGTTGAGATATCACATACGAGGTACCAAATGAAGATTTTTAAAAGATGTTGCACAAAATAGAAATCGGACCAAATTACTATGCATTTTCATGCAATTTGCCTTGAAAATAACAAGCATTACAAAAGTAAAAGCATATGGAAATCCTTTACACTCTCCTCTCCAAATCAATTGTAGTAAAAGGCCCGATAGGTGAATTGTACCCCCTCCGTCCCAAAATAAATGTCCACAATAAAAAGAAAGACACACAGTTTTAGAAGGGTGTGATTATTAGACTTATTTGTTAACTAAATGACAATTTTGCCCTTACTAATATTAGTACAATGACTTCTCTTCCATCTCATGATTAAGAGTAGAACTGGAAAATAAACACTTAATCCAAGACATACTAAAATATAGATATTTTGAGACGAAGGGAGTATATGTTGATGAACTAATTTAATTTGCTAGAAGGGGGACGAACCGTATTGCTTATAAAGAAGATACCTTTTTGGTTTCACAGCATTGGATACTTGGCAGTGTTGAACACTTGACTCTTCCTGCAGCTTACTGGCATTGCACCCCTGAGAACTGACATCTTCCGGGCAGACCGACAGTTCATCCGCGATTTCCTATAACCAATAGTATAAAGCATTCTACACTTGTAATAATCATAACTGTAGAAATTAAACACTAAGCTTTTCAAGTTTTGGTCGCAATTAACTGTAACGAAAATGGGCCTACCAAAGTTTGTGGAGGTCATTTCATGATTATGAAACACCAAAGGTAAATTAGGATGAGAGTGAGAGTTCCTTACAGGGTCTAAAGCTTGTGGGTTCTCTATGCACTTCAATCCCTCCCCATTTGACAAAGAAATCAAAACAGTCACCTGGACACAAGAACGAAATTACAAAAATCGGAGGAAATATGGTACATTTCATTCAACCTAAGAAAACATCCAGTTTTCTTCATGGGATATGTAGAGACGAAGTAGACTTATCAACAAGCAACTCTCCAAGCATATTTAAACAACAAATTGTTAGACAAGGTTATGCAACTGATTACTGAGCCATGCACTTCACTGACGGATAGGTATGCCCCAATTTTCATCATTGTTGGTGGCAGACAAAATTTGTTAAAGGCTCAAGGCGCAAATGGGTCCCGAGCCTAGGCGTGAGGCATATCTTATCAAAATATATATATATATATACACACACACAATTACACACAACTCAAATGTGCAGCAACAAACAATACTTCAATATAGGCAGAAGGGACAAAGGTTTAGAGCGTGAGCCGTGAGGGAGAAGTATTTATAGAGGAAGCTTGAAGTTCTAAGAATCGAGTTTAAAATTTAATATTAGTGTTTGACTTATGTCATCTATTAAACATTAGTGTTTCAGTGTTTGATTAATATTTATTTAATAAAACTTTATGAGGCGTGCCTAGGCCCACAAGGCGCCTCAGCCAAGGCAAAACGCTTTAGTGAGCCTCTTGGATATGCTAAGCCTCGACTGTAAAAAAAAAAAAAAAGCCCAAGACCTTGAGCCTCAGAGCCTACGCATGCCTCAGGCACGCTTTAACAACTATGGTGGCAGAGTCTTACATTTGTTAGACTTGGAATTTTCTACTTCAATATATGTTGGAAACCCTCTTCTCTCCTTAAAGACTCATTTGAAGAGTAATCTAGTTGGGTTTCACATGTCCAAGATGATATCAGAGCCAAGATAAACCTCTGGGGGACATCAATGCCTGAGACTCGAAGCTCTAGGACATTTAAGGGGCGTTGTCAGAATCCGATATCGGCCAAACCTGGACCTTTCCACATCAATATACGTTGGAAGCCTCATTCTCTCCTCAGGGCTCTTTTAGAGAGTAACCAGAAGGGGTTCCACATATCTCACAATTATATCCTCCAAAGGTATAGAAGAGGGAGGGATGGAGACAAAAACATGTGCCTACATTGAGAAATATATAATATTAAAGACCTCATGCCCTCGTTGACTTTTCAAATGTTCAAATCTCAAGTAGTGTTTTCCCATATCATCTCACATGTCCTTCTGAATGTGGTTAATGATTTAACCTTTTTTCCACATATTGGCTGCTAGGATGCTGAGATACAAGCTTTTAAAATATCATTGATGGTTGAAGTCTTCTACATGCTTATTAGAGACATACTTGAGTCGCATCCAATGTTAGATACCTATACAACAAGGGATCAATGCCTATATATTATTGTTGATCCAAACACTCTCAGTGATTTAATGATGACCCTCCATACTTAGTGAAATGTATTTGTTGTATTTCCGTTCAGTTTTAACGATCATCTTTGAGTCTGTTCAAGTAATCGTTGAACATATTCTGTAAAACCCTCGAAGAACAAGTATTCCTCAAAGACAAAACTGACACCAAAGGAGCCTTCAACGATGTCGAAGAAGTAGCTGAAAAGAGAGACAACAGTTCGTGATCTAAAGTGAATTCAGTGATACATAAACGTGTCTAAATCAAAGTGTGAAATCTAACCAAGACTCAGCGAACACTGAAGAAACTCTAGAGTTGAATTAGTGTCAGCAATCAAATGAATCTTGCTCTACAAGATTAATTTTTGTCTTTATCCTCTTGCACAAAAAAGACAACTCTATACCTCACACAGAAAAGTACACGTACGGAGTTACTTTATTGTCTCCAAATGTGCTTACCAACTTTGAGAAAGTCAAATTGTTCATATGCGGCCAAAAGCCTACATATCTGAAGACAAATGACAAGATCTCCACAAAAGTTTGCCACATGGCTTGTACCTTCTGACTTGCATTAAATGCAATGGGTATAAATAGATGAAAAAAACTCTCTTCTCAGCAAGTACCTTCTTATTCTAACTCTCTTCTCTCTTATTCTCATCTTCTGTGCAATATGTGTGTTTCTAAGATTGTTTAGATTAGGTCTTAACCTTATCTTCTTCCACAACAATCTGTAAATCCATATTGATCTTCTTTTATCAATAAATGAATTTAAAATGTAAAAATTGTGTGTTTGTACTCATCCCCCCCCCCCCTACAAACTGTTACCGCTGAAACTCTTGTAAATCCGTTATGGACCAACAATTAGGAAATCCTTTTATCATGGAATGAAAGACAGAATAAGTTTTCCAAAGATATTGGCTCTCCACTCAAATTCAGCAGACCCTGTGCAACAATAAAGCCAACAGGCTTTATGCAACAACAAACTCAGCAGAATATATGCTTTTACTGTCAATATTTATAGATGTTTGGTTTTCCTAGATTAAATTATATGAGTTATTTTTCCAAGTAGGATATACCGGGTTGGGTTGGTTTGGTTTGGTTTATACTTGTAAAAACAAAATAAGTTTGTGGGTCAACTACAGAACTACCTACACTAAATATTGAACAAGTACCTGTTATGACCCATTATCAGACCCATATGACCTAGCGAAACTCAGACGTTTACCACGCAAGAAGAAAGCCTCATAATATAATCTCTATAGGGAGGGTAGCAACAAGTAGTAATCAATCTAGGCTGATCAGAAGGTAGCACATTTATACAAGTATGCCCCCTGTCAATTTTTTCTCATAAAGTTTGTGTAACCTAGAGACAATCAGACAACTAAAATTTACTGAACAACACACCAGTTATGGTATTACGCAATCATCGAACTCTATGTATGGCAAAGTTATCACTACCGTTATAGATTCATAGGAATGGATCAGGGCAGAGGAGGAAAGAGAGAGAAGACAGAATTTTCTAAAGTATTACCCCTTGTTCGTTCATTCAGTTTTCAAGTATCGAAGAAAATCTTGAAAATGTTTTCCATGCACATACTGGTAAGCAGAAGCAAAATAGTGGCTGTACAAAAACATTCACCGATTATTAATTTCAACACCATGTGTACATGAATGCCATGTAGACAACTAGGTTCAGAGCTTTGAGTTAAGGGCCACATTCCCAATAAGAAAACAATTAGACAAAAGGCATATACAATAATTTCGAGAAATTAGAGATCAAACTAACCTCTTTCTCTTCCTGTTCTGATTGGTCTCGCTCCGAGAAGAAAGAAATTTCATTTTTAACCACAGAAGGCAACACTGAACCTTGGCCAACTGAATCTAAAGTAGGACAATCTGCAATTTAAGAAACACTTGCAATCTTGAAGGTAACATTATGATCCAGCTAAGATTTCAAAGATGAGCATCAAACAACCATTCATGATCAGCATTAGAGACGCAACATATCGTGTACCAGAAAGCATTGTTGGTTATCAGTGGAAAGCTGCATATTCTACCAAATAGTACCCCTACTACGATATAGATCATCAATTTTCAATTAAGAAACCGTGTGGTTAGAATTCTAACCTGAAATTTCTCCATTGGCCTCTTTTTCTTCAACTTCTTTGAATTCTTGTTTATCCACAACATTTGTACTTGAAGCGTCAACTTTCTGATCGATATATGGCAAAAAAAAAAATTAGGTGGTCGTGCACAACCTAAAATAACCAATTCTAGCTATAATGATCTTATCCGGTAATAAAACCACAACTATGAAATATTCCCCATCACTTTGATCTTGAAACTTTTCAAAATAACCAATTCTAGCAAAATATACCTCATTAAATAACCAATTCTAGCCAAAAAAAAATTACATCTTGTGAGAAGGTTGTTCATACTTGCTCCCGAACCTTTTATTAGACCAGCATAGGTTCATTGTAGAGATTAAACAATGGATTTGTAATAAAACTTCTTCAAAGAATATAGATTTTTATGCAACAACTTGGGCATACCCAAACTTCAAGAGAAAAGTTAGCAATATTATCGATTATAAGTGTATTTTTGTCTCCTGGCCAACTATTCTAATATTTATTTCACACCACCTTACAAAGTTAAAAGCACTTTTTAAGAAACACATTCTCTTTACCATAAAAAATACCACCATTAATTAGGGAAAAGAATCACAAAATTACCAAAGCAAATGAAGCAAGTGGCAATAATTGCATGCTCTTAAAGCTAGAGATGATAATTTTGCCCCATTTATAAATAAATGGATTGATTTGGTTATGAGTAAAATTAAAAAAACTTACGTCAAATGGAGACGGATCAAACGGATTTTAAGTCTCCCAAAGTGTATTCAAATGCATAAAACCTCGTAAATCAAATAATTCAGAAAATTATATTATTATCGTAATATTGTTTTTCTAAAACTACAGGAAGTCCACTAAAACTGAAGGGAAAATTTTACAAGCTAGCCATCAAACAAACTAAGGGGCCACTTACCAAACGCTTACCATGTGACTTACCTTACCGGATTAAAATGGCAAAGGCCGAAAATCTTACTCGGTAAGAGATACAGCAAAGAACGAGAGTCTTACTCTGTAATGACTCATAAAGGTAAGCGCTTACCGGGTAAGATTGTTGCATATGATGCCATTTTGATGGCCAATTCTTACCTGGTAAGGTTACTGATAGTGGTTCATCTTACCGGTAAGCCCTTACCTGGTAGGCTTGGTAGGCTGGTAAGTGTTTTGGTAAACAACCCCTAAATTGTATGGGTGGGTGGGAGGGTAAGGGAGGCCCATGGCCATGAGAAGAAGTTGGAAGTTTCAGAAACGAGGATTGCTTGAATAAACCCGCGGTCAGACCATGTTGGACTAGATACTAAACAATGTCTTTCGGGTAGGAGTGTTCGCGGTTCGGTTCGGGCAGTTTAACCCCCCAAACCGCAAACCAAAGCGCAATAGCAGATTATGAAATTTTCCAAACTGGTCAAACCGAACCATAAAAATTGGGGGTCTGGTCTGACATGTTTAAGCGGTTTGGACCTATTATGGACTTCAAAGTAAAAAACCTAACATCTATCTCCAAAATGAAATTTCTACCAATAACATTATTAAAAAAAATACTGTATAGAATTATAAAAGAAACATCAATACAATATGTACATGAATGCTGTATAGACAACCAGGTTCAGAGGTTTAACTTCAAGTTAAGCAACACATTCTCAAATAACAATGAGGCAATAAGGCATACAATAATTTCAAGAAATTAGAGATCAAACTAACCTCTTTCTCTTCCTGTTCTGGTTGGTCTTCCTCTAAGAAGGAAGAAACTTCCACTTCAACTACAGAAGGCAACACTGAACCTTGGCCAGCTGAATCTAAAATATGACAATCTGCGACTGAAGAAACATTTACAATCTTGATGGTATCTTATGATCAAGAGAAAGTAACGAATTTCACCATCTCATAGCTACTGATAGAATTGGAACGTAGACACGTAGTTTGGGACAAACTAAAATGAAAAGTGTACACTTAGTTTGAGATGGAGGGAATATCATCATTGGTTATCAAAGGAAAGTTGCATATTTTGATAAATAGTACCCCCCCCCCCCCAAAGATATAGATCTCCAGTTTTCAAATAAGACTTGGAATTCTAACCTGATATTTCTTCATTGGCCTCTTTTTCTTCAACTTCTTTGAATTCCTGTTTATCCACAACATTAGTACTTGAGACGTCAACTTTCTGATCAATATAATGACAAAATTCTCATTTTTAGGTTGTTATGCACAACCCTAAATAACCCTTTCTGGCTATAATGCACTTTATATAGTTATAAAATCACAACTATAAATATACCTCATTACTCTGCTCTTCAAGATTTCTGGATATTGACAAGATTTCAACAGAGATTATTCCCTGATCAATAGCACGATAGCATTCATCATCTTTGGCAAGTCTTCATCTTAAGAACAAAATCTCTAAAGAATGTGGATCCTTACATTGGTGTAAAATACGAGCCTATTGTCTACACTTTCGGACCTTATTGTTACATCATTTGTGTAAAAGTTAGAAGATAATTGACTTTACTCCATTAATTTAGGTCATCTGAATTTACCTTATTGTTACATTCTTCTAAGCTGACAGTGCTAAAGCAATCCGAGTTAACAGCATCAGATCTGGCAACCTGAGCATCATAGGTAGTTTTGGGTTAGGGTAGAAAATCTTGAGATATAGCATCATGGAAAGCATTACAACATTATGATGTAACCGGAAAGGCATGGGGTACAACACGAGTCTTTAGGGAGAGACAAACATGAAGTAATAATATATGTAAATCTAACCATTGGAAAACTGATAAAAAAGATGGAATCTGCTTACAGTGTCATCCAATATGTTCTGCTTTTCAATACATTCTGATTCACTGGGATCCAAAGATGAAACCTGTGCATTTACCAAATTTAAAGTGAATAATATGTAAAAGTCGGCATTTGAAAGACATAGTAATTATCCTATTAAAAACTCTACTGTAGCACACAGTGCTTCAATGTATAAAACACAATGCTCTTTTGTGTGTATGAGAACTTGAACACCATGAATGCTTGTTGATGGCATAAACACAACCAAGTTCTTGGGTGTAGGCGTGTAGCATCAAGTTAAAGCGGTAAACTCCAAACAGATAAAAAAAAGTAATTCAACATACATTAACTTCAGAGCATTAAAGATTAGCCTAACCTCTTCTTTGTGTTGCCGTTGATCTTCCTTCACAATGGAAGAAAGTTCATCACAATGTACAAGTAACTCTGAATCACTAACAACAGACTCCGAAGTAGCACAACCTGAGATTTAAAAAAGTAAACAGCCTTGATATAACAAGCATAAACATACTACATGATAAGATAATCTTACACATAAACGAGAACAAACCATAGAAACAAAAGAACAAAGTCCAACAAATTATATGAACGGTGTTTCAAAACAAGCAAAATAGACAGAAATCACTGAACTTTCATGTATTTTTCATGTTCATGAACAAAACAATTTAGCAATGGCCAGCAATCACTGAACTTTCATGTATTTTTCATGTTCATGAACAAAACAATTTAGCAATGACATAGTTGCAATATTTTTTTGAATTAAAGCACTGATCATCAACTATTGGACACTTGCATGGTGTTCACTTTCCTCTTAATGCCTTTTATTCGGTTGGAGGCTATGCTGTTTACCAACTTTTTGCCTCTTAATAAGATCGATGATGCTCTTAGGGGTTCTTACCCATTCAGTGACCAACCTTTTGCTTACCCATTCAGTGGCCGACCTTTTGCTTACCTTCAGCAACCATACAGGGCCTTTAATTCATTCAACGCTTAAGCAAATTTGTTTGGGTAAACGGTCCTTAGATTTGTTAAATCCCATCTCTGCTCAACCAAAACTGAATCACTTATTATTGGGAGAATATAAGCATGAGATTGATAAATCTTTTTGTTGAGTTATATAAGTGTCAAAAAAAATCATGTAATTCGATGACCACTTGATCTATTTTGCCTTGGATACATGCAGTTGTTCAGTGACCAACAACATTATCAGTTATCAACACAAGGTAACTAAGGATATGAGTTGAACAAAACAAATAGGAAGAAAAACGAGGCATACAAGTTAGCTAAAATAAAAGACAGAGTATCTATACATAAGTTTCATAAAATGCATTAGAGTTTGTCATATACTCATATATGATGAAGTTAAAGAACAATGGAGGGATTGTTTTAAAGAGTTGTTCAAAAGAAATAATCAAGGGAAGGGAGTGTAGAAAACTTAAGGATTCTGTCAAGGAGGAAAAGGAAGCATTCAAGTTAGCTAAAATAGAAGACAGTACAAACTAGACATAAGTTTCATAAAATGCATTAGAGACTTTTAGTCATATATGATGAAGTTAAAGAACGAAGGAGGGATTGTTTTAACGTGTTGTTCGGTAGAAATAATGAAGGAAGTGCAGGAGAACTTGATGTAGTTGTTCGATTGAACTATTACTTTCTTAATATTCACTCACAATCCACGTGCCTTAATACGGTTCCACTTTGTGAGAGTTCAGAAAGAAAGTATGCGTACGCGGAGCACGAAGGTCTATGTACTGCATTGACCCTATTTATGTGTGCGTATACAAATTAATATTAGTACTACACAAATAAATTTTTAGTTGCAGATTTTAGATCCATCATCATAAGGCATGTTCATAACAGGACTGCATAAAAACAATAAATCAGAAATGCTACATCTATACAACAGTTTTCACATGCAATCCATGTGACAATTGATCAGCATAATTCAAGGCAAACAAGCACATTAGAGCACATAAAAGAAAGTTTTAGTCAAGTAACGGATATGAGCTCAGATTGAAAATCGAACCTGCTATATCATTGCTGAACTCTGTGTCTTCAAGTTCCTTCAAATCTTCTTTATCAAACACAACATATTCCCAGGGAACTATGTCTTTCTAATCAAGATAATCACAAACTCATCAGTTCAGAGTTGCTCTAACACAGAACTAACCATTTCTAGTTATAATTCAAGTCTACCATTGAAACCACCACTATTATAGTATACCTCGTTACAATGTTTTTAAAAAAAATTAAACACTAGACAATGTCGATACAACTTCAACTGTGCTTGTACCCTGATAATATCAAATATAATCCTCATCATCATAAGGAAGGACCCATTATACAAACATAAGCTAGCACATTTGCATCTTACTAATGTCAACACTAACTACACAAGGATTTATCCTTAAGAGCTTTGGTATTCTTCAATTACTGCAGAGATTAAGGCCGCAAAGAAGGCGGCTCGCAAAAATCTAGAAGTGGCTAACACGATTTTACCTTAAACGTAGATCATACTAGTTTGTGGGTTGGCTTCCAGAAAGCAACAAGGGATGGCATAGAGCATGAAACCAAGGAATATGTAACTTGATAGGAATGGCTTAAAATCAATCAACTTAGTTATGATAAAAAGAGCTCTTAAAACTAGTTGCTTAAGTAAATAACGAGAATATAAATCTATAATATGTGAACTAGAATCCAACAATGCTATTGGAAAACGAGTATACATGCTTTGGAGTTTGGACCACAATGTTAAACCCATAGGTCTACTAAATAAAATCCACAATTAAGCCTTAACATACGTGAAATGTGGATACATGGAGAGCATGTGTGTGTCAGGTCCAGTGCCATTTAGGAGAGAAAAATTGCAAGTTACAGACCTCATGGACATCAATTGAGTGGTCTGCCACCAACTCAAGTGAGCAGTTTGTTGATTTGGCTTTAGATTCACTTTCTCCAACCAGCGGAACCTCTGTCTTTACTTCCTTCCCACATGAGCAGGAAGCTTTCACAATGTTTAATTCAGTCTCCAGTGCAGAAGACCGATTTTTTTCAACGGTGAGGCTGTGTCTTAAAGAATCGATTGCGTTTTCACTGGCCTGTCATATAGGTGGAGTGGTAGTTAGTAATTTAAAATATAACTAATATAGTTATGAACTATATAGAAAAGCATTTGAGAGCATTAGACACAAATTTTATCATTTCAAGTGGGAGAAAAAATGATAAAGGCCCTACAGCAACTTCCAATTGCTCACAACAAAATTACCTCTAGTTTGTTCTTATATTCTTTCAAAACATTCCACAAAGCTCTAGAGAAGTTTAACAGAATATGATTCTCTCTAGCTCTCTTCGCTGAATCAATGATATTTTCATCGACAAATGTGTTCTCATTTGCTTGTATATCAATGATGCTGGAACACGCAACTGACGAACCATTACTTTTAACCTCTCGGACTTGTTGTGCAGTCAGCTCTGTCCAATCAAGCAAAAACAACATTTAAAAATTTAAAGAATGTGCTCAAGAGCACAAGTATGTGATTAACCAAAAGTGGAAATATGTAGAATGCATAATGTGTCAATGGGGATAATATAAGAACGCTAGAGAATAATATCAAGCACAAATATATATATACACACACACACATATATATATGTATATTCGTTTTATCTAGAAAAAGGGAAAGTAGCCATGCATGACAAAGCAAAAACAGCAATTGCTTCTAATTTTGTGTAACCTTCTTTAGAAAGCTGATGATGAATACCGCCCTTCACCTCACCAGCCTGAAAGATGAAAATTAAAAAGCCAAAAGTTAAACAGTGTAGCAATTGAAAACATCTTATCGTATGTACCTATCAAGTTGTTGAACATATATTTCATTTTAAATTTTGCTTACCATAAAATACCTTTTTTTCATTTTGCTTACCACAGATACCTTGTTTCATTTTGTTTACTGCTTACTAAATCCACCAACCACAGAGACAAAAGTGGCCCATAAGAATTAAATCCCTAACCTCCAAATTACTAATGTTGGGCTAAATTGTTGTTATCATCGGTTGTAATTTGTATTTCAGTCAATGTGTTACACTCTTAATTTTAACATCAAACAGACTGTTAATGTGCAAAAACTAAGATCAACTGGCATTTCAAATCCATTCATGAGATCTTGATATTATATATATATATGTGTAGTAACTGATTGCCCATTGTTTGAAAATATAGAATTCAAGATGGTATGCAAGGTTCATTTATGAAAGTAGCAATGAGCTTTATTAGGCCCAAGATGATAGCATCGAAGCATTAATATGTCATGAAGGAAAGAAAGATACCATACAAACTTCATTGCTACTGAACTTCATTCTTTTACCCTGCTCCGCTTTTGGCAATGTTTGGGTCCGCCTCTTATTACAAAGGGCATTGCCAGGCTGTTCTTCAACATTCTCAAACCTAAAAAGAAAAATAGAATTTGGGGTCTTTGAAGTTCCATTTCAAGTGTTCAAAACTGATAAAGATAAGCATTGCACAAAGCATGAGCAATAGCAAATCATGTATTTTACTCTTTCTTGGGGTAGGTTTAAAAGTCTCGTACTTGATATTCATATAAGGTGAAGCTTGTCTTAGCAGATAGGATGTATCATGATAGTCTTCTTCCCCCGGTTTTGCTGTTAAAATCTACACAAAATAGTTTATTAACCAACAAATTGTAGTCAAAAATGGTACAAGAATACAGGCACTAAAAGGTGAGAAAGCATCCATCAAGAGGATTCTTAGGAGACATCAAAATGTTATGTTTAACCATATTGCCATGTATGGAACTAAAAAATGGTGGAGGCAAAGCTGCATACCAATGCCATCCTCTTCTTTCCTTCCAAGAATTCACGCAAGTATTTAGTCAACTGACAACAATGAAGAATGGCTGTGTCATAAACTCAACATGAAGAATTATAGAGCTAAGAATAAAGGAGAAGAAGCATTTAAAACATGTGTCGTGGGCATTACCAATGAATTTTGGAAGTGCTTGTGAAAAGGTTTCTTGGGGTTCTTCTGGTGCTCCAACAAGGACTGAACATAAAAATCAAACAGTTAGGCAAAAACAAATTATAACTATTGTATGTCAACCAACAGAAATGATAAGTATATGTTGTGTGTATATACACAGAAAGGGAGAGAAGGAAAAAATATAGAATAAATTAAGCAAAGTAAACAAAAAAATTATATTTTATAACCATAGTTGTGATACATACCCTTAAACATAATCCAAACACCATAGAAGTGTTGTTGATGAAATTACTTTCAAGCAATCTAGCTCCCTGTGAAGAAGATAAAAGGATTGTTTTTACATAGTAAGTAATCAAGATGAAACAAGGCAACTATTCAGAGTTCACCGGCAATAAACACTGCCATATATAGCAATGGCATAGTAATTGATATAGAATAGTTGTGCCTTAAACATGAGAGGACACAACAAAGAATCAAGCGAGCTCAAGCGTTGGAATCAAATTAAGCATTTCCTTCCATTATTCCTTTACATGACATACCGTAAGAGAAGTACCGCCACATTCATTATGATTAAAATGTCATTCAGTATTCAGTAAAGTAAATAAGCATATATGTGGGCATACATGTAATGGAACATAAAGTACAGAGCTCAATCAGAAAGACTAAGAAGTTAATCACACGCATATGTTGCAAAATCTTGCTTTTGTATTTCAAAGCAGATGATGGAACTTACAAATCATAAGAAAGCAAATGTGATATATGGCACATGTACAAATTAAACCCCGTACCAGATACATCATAGTATGGTACCTGATACCACTTCCTCTGCATCAATTAGTTAAATATCAAGAATCAAGATAACTACCAGGTAGTTGGTATGTGATACATTCATTTTGGAGAATAAACATTAACTGAAGCCTAAATTCAGTTAGTTGTCAATGACAACAAAGGGGTATGTGAACAAATGTACCTAAATCTTGGTGGACACTACAAGCTATTAGAGCTTTTGCTCAGACAACTATGAATAATGGCCTTCAATCAAAGCATTTACTATAATAGATGGTTTTAGTAGGGAGTCAAATCATAAACCTTCCAGAATTTTCGATTACCATGTACAATAACAAAACAAAGAAGCAATAATGATCTGAACCTGATTCCCAGTCCTTTTTTCTCTTTCAGCTCCAGCAAGATCAACAATGGTCAAAAAAGCAGTGCAGGATTGAGTACCAGCATCTTCATCAATGTCGTCAAGATCATTGCGAATGTTTATAATGCATTGTGAACGGCTGGAAAATTAAAAATACGAGTGAAACCCACACTTATTACAAACACTAAATATAGTATTACTTCAATTCTGATCACAATGAAGCAAACGAGCAGATTTACTCGTATAAATGATACAGTTCAAGCATTTAACTATTCAATAATAATGTACCTTGAGTTCATGACTCCTGAACTCAAATAAACCAATTTGTGATACTCTTGCTTCAAGAAGTAAATGGCAAGTAAAATGTTATCTATTTGCTCAAACGACACAAAGCAACAAAAACAAACCCACATAAGCCATACCAGTATAAACATATATCAAGTGCAAGAAACAAAAATCTGCCATACGTATGCCACTCCTCAAGCTTCTAGACGTGACAATAAATTAACTCAAGGTAGCCCACTTCGTCATATTATAGTCCTCAGATGGGATACGAAATATGCATCAGCATCCAAAATATTTCCTAGGACACATGTCAACTTATCTTTAATTTGCTAAAAACGAGTTGCAGCTAGTCGGCTACAATAGCAAAACAGGTGAACTTCTAGCACGCACCTCGATTGAATATTGGAATTTGTCATAGCCGTAGAACGCTTTAGCATTCCACTTGCAATTAAAGATTCAGCCTGCTGAGCGTCATGGATGACTGCCTGTGTATATCGAACAAATTGAGACACTCATAGAATCCCTGATCTATTAGAGATAACTCAAAGAAAGATGAAAGAACTCATGAGGTAAAAAATTGGGATGATAATATAAATATGAAAAGTTACCGAACCTCTTGGAGACCTTTGATATTTGATTGCTGCATGTATAAATCACCTCCATCTTGTGATAAATCCATAATCTTTTCTCCTTTTCCTCGCTCTGAATATATTTCAAACATAGACAGATAGAATGTCCTGCGACAATATAGCACAATAAATTTTCTGAAAATATTTAGTGGATAGAGATTTTTAACTTGTCTGCTGCTAACGGTTGTCAAGCTAGCTAGTATTTGACATGTCGTTTTCCAATAAACAAGACAACCATCCACTAATYAACCAGGCAATAACCACTGATTCTACTTATCACGAAGATGAAGAGAAAAAAGTTTACAAAATCATGATATCATCAATGAAAGGGTATATGAAGAAAGAATGTTATATATGATTAGAATTTAACCAATAACCTTGAATATTTAGCTCCATTGCTCTCCTTTACTGAAAATATTTGACGAAGAGCCAGAGAAACCATACCAGGTTCTCTAGCACTTCCGAAGACGGTATGAGTCTTGCCAGATCCACTTGGACCCATAGCAGCAAGCATTCCGCTCTTGCCTTTTAAGAAATCATCCACTAGAGGATTAACCATTCTCTCATAGACTTCACGCTGCGATAAGCAAACCAACATTAAAACAACAGACACATTTGATCATTTCCACAATTCATAAAAAATTTGACCTTATTATCATGATTGTTCTATTATTCACTTATTTATTTATTGTTTGTGGGGCAGACCATTTATTTACACTTTATAAAACAACATTTCCAAAGACAGATCCCCTGTTGCCAGGGTCATCACGCTTTATCAAATGCATCTTACACACCAACAGTTGTATCTTACAACAGATTATAAGTATTTTCACATAGTTCACAATAAAACACCAAGTCGTCTACAATTTCACACCATTTATTAATACGGATAAAAAAATGATCATCTTGAAGAAAAGATTCAAGCAACCACAGAACGAGCAAAGGTAGATGGATGCTTTAAAGTCGAAATTTAATGCATTTTGGGGAAGAACGCATCTACTGGACTGTCTGATACCGGTAACTTACTGTGCAAAAAAATACGTTCAGATAAGCACCTATAAGATATGTCATGGTAACAAAAGTGTATATGTTGCTACATCTTCTACATATGAAACATGCAAAATGTTTTTAGTAGTGAACAATCAAAAAATAAAATTCAAGATTGAAGGACGATAACCTGAGATGATTCAGCACAAAAAACATGAGAAAAGCCTTCATAAACTTCAGACTTTGTCCGTCTAACATCTACCAAGCTTTGTGGAGGACAAAGCGTGACAGAATGCGAGTCGTTAACTTTCAAACAAATCTCACTCTTCTTCTTCGCGGCAGCCTTGGCCGTTTTCAGAGCATCTTTTTTCCTATTAGGGTTTTGAGGCCAAACATTCTTCTGACCTCCATTCTTCACTGATCCTCCCACTTTCTGTTGCGTTACAAGCGGTCTTATTCGAAGAAAAACCTTAAGCTTCTCGGAATCTGAGGATTCCTTGGGAGACGAAGACTCCGTAATCTCCTGTTTAGGGTTCTCAACGTCGGGAACGTCAATGGAGAGRATGTCTTGAATGGGGAAGGAGCGTACAGCTGAAGGTTTTTTAGACGACGGAGGCAGTGAAAAGGGGACGACGGAGGCAGGAGTTGGTTTGGCTCTCCGGGGAGGGTTTCTCCGAACGGTGACGGTGTTTGGGCAGGGCGGCGGRCTCTTCTTCATCTCCATTGCTGAGTAATCGGTTGAAAGCTTCAATTGCAACCGGGAAAGGCAACGTTTGAAATTTGATGCAAGAAGACTGTGTCTTGTATTTTGATCCGCGTTGCTTTCAAACAAAATATATTCGAAATTTTTAAATGAAAAAATATACACAACAAACGGTAAAAAAAATATCCAAACAAATTTAATTTTTGGTTGAAAATAATAGAGTAAAATTTTAAAAAACCTAATAGACTTTAGTGTTTGAAATGATTAAGTTTTGGATTATTTTTTAGAATAAATAAGTCTTGGACATTGCAAAACCTGTTAAACAACTTCTTGAACTTTTTAAAACTTGTTATATATATTTTCTTATAACCTATAAAACTAATTAACATAATAAAATAATGGAAAAACATGGAAAACAAACTAATGAACATTCATATTTTTAACGATAAAGTTCTTAAACATTTTTTGAATTAAAAAAAGTACTTACATTATATAAAATAAAACAAATTTACCAAAAAAATACTTACATTTAAAAAAAATTATTGATGAAATTTATTTTAATTAAAAATAAAAGATATTATGTTAATGATTTTTTAAATTAAAAAAAT